TGGCAAATGCTCTAAACCAGGGCTTTTTTCCCCTGGAGAACTGACTGTTAAACATTTATCAGCATACCTCAGGTGTAGCATATATTATGTAGTCATCTTATATTAACTCTCATATGGTGAATCTGCTTTTAGAATCTTACTTACAGAACTAAATGGACTGAGTTCAGAAAACTTGCCTTGACACTGAAATAAGCAAGCAGCCTGTAGTCCAGGAAGCCTGTTGGCCACAAATAACAAGTCACAAGAGGACTATTTGAAAGAATAAGGATGTTGTTCAACAAAACTTTCTTTAGTAGTTACTATGTACAAAGATGTATGCCAAAGGCTAAGGAAAATATTAGATAAATAACAGTGTACTCCTTTTAGAGGAGATGACAAAAAACCCTTGGTGATACAATGTGATAAGTGCTATAATGGAGATACAGAAGCATGGTGGAAAGAAGGTCATCAGAGAGACTTCAGTAAGAACCTGAACTATAAGCATCAGTGTCTCTCTGGCTCTCCACTGTGTTCCTAGCACCTTGCACAGTGCCTGGCACAGGGTTGGTTATCAATAACTGTTGGATGAATGAAGTTTACCTCGATCCTGGAAAAATAAGACAAACAGATAAGAGTGGGTAGAGGCAGGGTGTTTGAAAAACACAGGGACTTCCCTAGTGATCCAGTGACTAAGACTCTGCATTCTCAATGCTGGGGGCCCAGGTTCAATCCCTGGTCAGGGAACTAGGTCCCACAGGCTGCAGCTAAGAGCTCACACGCCGCACCTACAGATCCCCTGTGTCCCATCTAAGACCCGGCACAGCCAAAAAACAAATAATTAAAAAAAAAAAAATGTAACATGCAGAGACCTGGATAGGGGAGGGAAGGGGAAGAGCTCAGCATCTTTCAAGAGAGAGAAAGTTTAATGTGGCATGAGGGGTCCAGGGGCTAGAACTGGTAAGGAGGAGTGTACAGAAAAGGAGCTCTCTGCCTAAAATCTCTGTAGAGCTCTAAAAAGACCAAAGGAGTTGGCTTGTTCTGTGAAGCTCTGAGGTCAGCGTTAGGAGCAATGTGGGGAATCTCAGAGAAATCAGATTTAGTTAGAGAACTTTCTAATGGATTTGTCCAAAAGTGCGATGGGCAGACTAGGAAGGCTGTGAGTACAAGTTCTCTAAGAGGGTAGCAGACAGGTGGCAGACAAACTTAGTGCAACAGATTGCTATGGGTAGTTTTTTTTTTCCTGACTAGATTTTGGAAGAATTTATCAAATCTCCTTTTTAAGAGTATTAGATAATATATGGGCTTCCCAGGTGGCACAGTGGTAAAGAGTCTGCCTGCCAAGGCAGACCACACAGGAGACATGAGTTTGGTCTCTGGGTGGGGAAGATGCCCTGGAGAAGGAAATAGCAACCCACTCCAGAGTGGGTTTCCAGGCAATTTTCTTGCCTGGAAAATTCCATGGACAGAGAAGCTTGGCTGACTATAGTCCATGGGGTCGCAAAGAGTCAGACACGACTGAGCAACTGAGCACACATAATATATGGACAACCATCATGAACAGCATTTCTACAAAGACACAGAAACTTTCCTCAAGGGCTTGTTTCTTTCTTTCTTTTTTTTTTCTTTTTGCTGTTTTTATTTATTTATTTTCTGGCTGTACTGAGAGGCATGTGGGATCTCGGTCCCCAAGCAGGGATCGAACCTGTATCTCCTGCACTGGGAGTGCAGAGTCTTAACTGCTGGACCACCGGAAGTTCCAAAGGCTTGTTTCTTATGTCTATCGCTGAGAGCAATAGGGGTGCTGAAGGGTCTCCCATGAGAAAGTAAATATCTTTTCAAGTCATTGAGGTCTTCACTCCATCATGAAGCAGTTATCTATTCAGTATCTTTGTGTATCAGGGACTTTGCTAAATTCTGAAAATATAGATATAAAAGGAAAAAAAAAAAAAAAACCTGCCCTCAGAGTGCAGGGTGGAAAGGCAAATATTTACACTTCAATAGTTAAAATACCATTTGCTACCAAAAATTTGCTTTGCTTGGGGGACTCAGGGAAGCCCTGAAAGAGAAATGACTTGGAGCTGACTTTTGAAAAGTAAAACAGAATTCACTACATGAAGGAAGAGTAAGAGTCCAGACAGAAGGGAAACATAGATGAAGCTATGGAGATTAGAAAATGCATGGACAGGTGGGGAAGTGAGTGGTTGGTGAAAGTACAGAGTAGGTGGCAGTAAGAGCCAAAATGCATGTGGCCTTGAATCCAAAGCTAACAATTTTGGATTATAATCTGTTAACGATCGGAAGTCGATAATGTTTTATCCTATTATTTATTTAATAAACTTTTTATTTTGAAAGACTTTTAGACTGACAGAAAAGTTGCAAAGGTAGTACAGAGTCTTTATCTAAGAACCATGGGTCTTTCACCCAGTTTCACCCAGTGTTATCACGTTATAGAGCCATGGCACCTTTGTCAAGACTAAGAAACCAATGTTCGTACATGACTATAAACTAATAGACTTTATTTACCAGTTTTTCCACTCATGTCCTTTTACTATCCCAGAATTCAAGCCAGGATATCACATTGCACTTAATGTGTTTTTCTTTTCTTTTTTTTTTTTCTTTTTACTTCCAATAATGGGTTTTAAGTGGGAAGATGATGTGATCAGGTTTGTCAGTAAGAATAATCAACATAGTTTTTATAGCAAGTGTGAACAAAATAGATTGGAGGTGCCCACACTAGGGGCGGAAGACTTGCTAAAAGGCTACTAGAGAAGTCCAGTAAGAGATGATGATGGCCTGAACTCTGAGGACATTAAGGATGGAGAGGTGTGTTGACAACTTTTTGATCTTATGCTAGAGACCTTTCCTGAAGTAGAATGGATAGGATATAGGGGAGGGGAATCTCAATCCAACTCCTTTATCTGAGATGAATCTATGTATATAGCAGACTTTAAACAAAGATGGAGAAAGGAAAAGATCTCTGTCCCAGATCCTTGGGATGAGATAATTTCTTCAGTTAAACACTAAACTTAACTCTGAGTGCCCTGAAAGCCTAAGCAAGAAGGGAAGCATGATGACATTTCCTTCTCCAGAGGATCTTCCCCACCCAAGGATCTCATCATCTGTTAAAACAAAGCATACTCAAGGGAGAGGAAGTGGCCAGGTTGGAGAAGAAGAAATTAAGCCTGGAGGGCACCAGGGGCAGATCATGTTTGTCTCTGATTCAGAGGGCTCCGGGGGAGGTTCTGCTTCTTTTATTTATTTTTTTAAGATTTCATTATGTGGACCATGTTTAAAGTCTTTATTGAATTTGTTATAATATTGCTTCTGTTTTAGGTTTTGATTCTTTGGCTACAAGGCATGTAGGATCTTAGCTTCCAAACCAACTATTGAACCGGCACCCTTCCCACCCCCACCCCTACACGCACTGGAAGGCAAAGTCCTAACTATTGGACTGCCAGGGAGGTCCCCCAGAAGCTCTGTTACTGGGAACGCTGGTTCCTCCAGCGCTCTCTGTTCTTGGAGAACATCAACTGGCAGCACAGGAGGTGGGGACCCCAGCCTTACCCCAGGAAGTTATCTTTACAGACACAGTCAGAAGTATTTCAACCTGGAAATGTGATTCCCTGCCAGAGCAGGATGTGATTCAACATCCCTTCTGTCTTATCTCTTACTCTTCCTAGTCTGCTCCCCTCCAACATTTACTGAGTTTCCAGCAGCTCTGCAAGAAGTTCCTCTGGGGATGAAGTTGAGGTCCAAAATGGGGATGAATGAACTTACCCAAGACATCCAAGCAAGCTAGGGAGAGAGCCAGGACAGGGGCCCTGTCCTTTTGAGTTAGCAGTTTGAGCGTTTCTTGTCTGGACAGAGCTGGTGGTTCTCTTCTTGGGTGCTATTAATTCATACACTCATTTCATTAATTTCATTAATTCATACCACGAGGTATGGGGCACCAAGGCTGGGCTGAGGTGGGGGGTTCCAGGCCCTTGCCCCCACCCCCACCCCCACCCCATCACTTTCAGGTAAGAAAGACAATCCTTCGACCTAAAGCCCTTACTCAAGAGGATTGAGTATGACCAACCTTCTCAGAAAGGTTCAGGCCCTGCCTGCAGAGGCAAAGGAAAGACTGCGTCCTGCTTCTGGAGTGCCAGGGTGGGGTGGGAGGGAGCAGAAGAAGGGCCAAGGATCCTGCATGGTGCCTCTGGATTCGGGGATAACTGGTCAGAGCATTCCAGGCGCCTGGAATTCGGACCCCTCCTTTTTGAGATCTGAGTGCTTTGACGTTCATTATCTCATCCCACGTGAGAAACAATTGTGGGGAGACATTAAAAACATTAAAAGATACTTAAGATACTAAGATCCCCATCTTAGCAAGGGGATCTGGGAAACAGACTCAGGTGGAGTGGCCAAGTGCACAGACAATTAAGAACAGCAAGTGTCCCGATTTCATCCAGAGGCGGGGTTCTGTGCAAGCACCGTCGAGCTTCCTCACCTGAGCGCCTCTCGGTTCCGCAGCCCGCGTCGCCTCTCCGACCCCGACATCTCTCCCTTCCCCACCCGAAAGTTTCTAACAGGGTTCGGTCCTCCTGGGCTCGGGGCGCCGCGGGGAGTCAGGGGTTAAAACCCGTGGCCCGGGTGGCTCCTTCCCCCTCCCCAGCCCCCTCGCCTCCTCTCGGCGCGGCGCCTGGAGCGTCTGTCCCAGAGACCGGCACGAGAGAGGAGGGGGAAAGTGGGCCTGTTTCTCGGGTGGCCAATCCACCGAGCCCGCGGTGCCCCAGAGGAGGCGCCAGGGCTAGGCCAGCGCCAGGCCGGGGCTGCCTGCTTCCCGCGGCAAAGTACAAATGCGCCCGAGCGCGGCGCCTGGCGCCCTTGGCGTGCACAGCCGGCCCGCGCGCAGCCTCCCCCCTGACCCCGAGTTCTGCGAGCAGGGGGCGCCGGCCGCTGCTAGCCCGCACGCCCGGAGCTGCCCGCCGGTCCCGCGCGCCTGGCCCAACGCTGCGCGCTCGGCGGACTCCGGTCCTCCCTCGCCTGTCTTTCTTCTCCTCCCCTCCCTCTCACCTTCCCCTTTACTTTAATTGCTTTCTCCTCTTGCATACCGTCCTGCATCCCTCCAACTCTTTCCCTCCGTTTGCTTTCCACCTTCCTCCTGTTCCCACCTTGGACCTCCCTTTTTGTCCTCACCACCTTCTTCTCAACCCTTCTCTGAATCTCTAACCCTAACCCTCCCCGGGTCTGCGGATTGCGCTGTGCCCCTGGGCGTCAGTGTCCCCCTCATCTCACTTTCCCCCAAGTCCCCGCCCGGCTCAGCGCCTAAGGGCCTGGCCCTGGGGAAGAAGGATGGTTCCCGAGGTAAGGGTCCTCTCCTCCTTGCTGGGACTCGCACTGCTCTGGTTCCCCTTGGACTCCCACGCACGAGCCCGTAAGTAGCGGAGTGGGTGTGCTGGGTGGCAGAAGAGGGGGCCCCCGGGATGTGCTGGAAAGTGCCAGGACTTGGAACCCCAGACTGTCCTGCCAGCCATCCAGGGAGCACCTGTGCCGGGAGGGTGGAGGAGGGTGGAGGAGGGTGGAGGCTTCTCTGCGGACCAGTTCGGGCTGCCCAGACCCAGGGGGGACTGGGCAAGACTCAGAGCCGAGGGGGCTGCGGCCACGGACCCGAGGGTGAGGGAGCTGAGAGCAGTGGGAGAGAGGGCAGGGCACCGTGCTTTTTCTGGAGGAGTGGGGGATGCTTATTCCTAGCAGAGAGTCTGGCATGTTTGGCGGCAAGGATGTGATGATGAAGAGGCTATTGCATTTAAAGAGAGCTGGTGGAAAGAAAAAAAGAGTTAACTAGGATAACTTTCCCATTGCTTTTCTCTTTTGAGGCTTACAACACTCCGGTCAGGTGGGTATTATCATTTGCATTTTACAGATGAGAAAACTTAGACTGAGAGAGGAAACTCGCTCACGTTGACAGAGCTAGTGAGCCATCCAAAGCCAGAACTCTTCAGTTCCCAATCTGATGCTTTTCCCCCTGGTCCCACAGCATCTGGAAGGAACTCTGATTTTGAACTGTGACATTGGGAGGCATCAGGGCACAGGGAGATAGACCAAGGTCTTCATTATCCCAGATCTGCTGACTACCAGCTGGTAGGAGGCAGATATGTCTCTGAGCCTCAGTTTCCTAATCTATAAAATGGGAGTGAAAATCCCAGGACTGTTCTGAGGATTAAACTGAAGAAAACATGGAAAGCACCAGCACCAGCAACTAGCTGGACCATGGTAGGTTCTCGAAAAACACATTCATGTTTTTCCACTCGTACACAGTGTAACCTCAGTCAGTTGATATCAACTCTCTGAACATCAATTTCCTCACTCTTTCCACAATAGGCTGGTGGTGGACCTCCTACCCATCTTCTGACCGTCTCTTGGAAAGCTGGGAGGGTGAAGAACAAAACCAAAGATTCTCTTAAAAAGAAGGAAGCATCTTAGTTCAAATGCAGACATACCCAGTAAAGAAACCAAGGCCCAGTATGGGCAGTGGTCCACCCCAGGTTACACAGGGTACAGCCTGGGATGAAACCCCATTTTCCCAGCCTAGAGCACGTTCCTCTCCACAGCTCAGCTCCTCCATCTCTGCCTTCTTTTGCACATGACTTTCTGGAGCCAGCATTACTGGATATTGTTTCATTCCTGTCTCTGATCATCAGGGCAGGCTGCATGTCTGTTCGTCTCTGGGCAGCCACCAGCATGAGAGTCACAGAAGTCCTTAGTAACAAATCCTGAAAAGAGCCCAGTGTTAGTTCAAGTCCTGGCTCTGCCCCTTAGTAGTTGTGTGGTTTTTCATAAGTGACAACGTCTCTGAGCCTCACTTTCTGCATCTAAGACACACACTCACCTGAAGGCTTCTTGGGAGGATTAGAGATGACGGGTAAGTGCCCAGCACAATGCCTACTGCTCTGTCAGTGTCTCCTCCTCCTCCTTGAGGCCTGGAGTTTTCCTCCCGACACCTTCTTGTTGCTTCTTAAACGAGAATTAGCACAGGATGCCCTTAATGCCTGCCACCCTTGGCACATGGCTCTTAACTCCCAGATTTCATTGCCCTGGATGCATCTTAGAAAGATGGCCTAGAATCATCTTTATGTAGATTGCTCACATCCTACCCATGGCTCTCCTCCTTGCCTCCCAGAGCCTGTCAGCCCTCTACAAGCCTAGCTTAGGTCACACCTCTTCCAGAAAACTCTCCCTGCCACCTGATCCACTCTGATCTTCCCTCCTCTGTGCTTCCACTCTTCGGGCCATATTTCTCACTAGGTGCTGCCAGTATTCCATCTCCTCTAGACTTGAGCTTAGTTACCGACATGCAAGAAAAACCTTGGAGCAGAATTGTTGAGTTAAGGTGATGTGGAAGTAATCAAAGGGGTGTAAGATGCTGCAATTTCAAAGCTGAAAGAACTTTTGAAAGTCACCTATTTCTACCCCTCAGTGTACCATTCCTCACAGTTAAACTGAAGCCCAGAAAGGGCGAGTGACTTGCCCAAGGTCACACAGCAAATTTGTTAAAGAAAAGAACAGAGACCTGGATCCTAGTCCCTGATTTATCACTTACAGGTTGTGTGAATTAGGACAAACCATTTCCTTCTTTGAGCCTCATTCTGTGTAATGCTAATAACCTATGAATCTAGAAACGATCCTGTAGTCATTTGCTAAGGTCTTGTTTGAAGATCTCCTGTGAAGGCCCTTGTCTTAGTTCAGTAAGTTTAGTTAGTAAGATTAGTTAGTTTAGTCAGTTACTTAGTTCAGTAAGTTTAGTTAGTAAGATTAGTAAGTTTAGTCAGTAAGTTTAGTTAGTAAGTAAGAAATCTCCTGGTGACATCTCAGGTGCTTTCAGAAGGGGTACTCACAGAAATTCTCAAACCCTGTGGTGTCTGATTCCTGAGGTGGCCCAGTCCTGCAGAATGTGTAGGGCCTGTGAACATGTATGGCAGCTTGCTCCTTAGTTTAAAGTGCAAGGGTATTCAAGCAAAAGTTATTCTATCCTTGGCTCTATTTCCAGCCACAGATTGAGCCTTGATCCCAGCCCAAACTGAGTCTCAACTCCAGCCGCAGACTGAGCTCTAATCCTCAGACACTACTATGGATCAAGCCCCATTTCCATTCCCACCTAGAGCCCTTAGCCAGGGTAGGCCCCTAATCTGGTCACTGACCAGTACAGTCCCAGGCTGAGCCACATGCGTGTATAGCATCAGTCACTTTGGGCACCTGTCCCCGCTGCTGTCTGTGGAGTGAGAACCTGCCCAGGACCTTGGCTCCCTCGCCACTGCTCTTCCTCCTCTGCCAGCTCCTCTCCTTCGTGCTCCTCCCTCACTGACCGTGCCCCCCTCCTGACCGTCCCCCTGCTGTAAGGTGTACAGCTGCTGCATTTTCTCATCTCTCCCTCCATCCAGTCCTGACTTCAGGAGAGAGTCGATTATCAGGTAAAAACCACCAGCTCTTCTACCTCCAAGGTTTATGTATTCCGTGGAAATCAAAGTTTTTGGTCCCAAGTGACAAAACCTCAGACCCCAGAGGCAGGGTGGGGGCAGGAAAGGAGCTTCCATGCTATGACATGGTACCGATGGAATCAGAAGGTCAGGGCTCCAGTCCTGGCTCTGCCTCCAGTTCCAACTGTGACCCACGACAGGTTGCCTTTCTCTGCCCCTGAGTTTTCCCAGCTGTAGAGCGAGATGGTGGGAGTCAAGCAGATAATCATTGAGGACTTTTCCAGCTTTAACATCCCATGATTCTAAGACCCAAAGATGCTATTGCCTTGGTTCAGGGTCCACTCTGGCCTTTGGAAAAGGGAGTTGGGGGAGTGTGGGTCTTCAGCCTGGTACCCTTGCCCTCCAGGGAGGAGTGGATATTCAGACATCCACTGTTGGTGTCTGAGAACCAGACACCAACAGAAAGGGCGTAGAGGGCCTGGGACAGTGGGTACAGAAGGGCTGACATCTGGTTGCAGTCAGATCCCTCTCTGCCTCTCTGGAGGTTCTGCACCTCTCTCTCCCACCAGTAGAGGTCTCTGTCTCACTCACTCGCTTGCAGGCCGTAGAGCAGAGCCTGGGCAGCAGCTGTGCCGTTGCTCCAGCTGTTGCACCTGTTCCAGGGCTGGCCTCTCAAGTTCCCCCAGCCGCCGACCATGGCACCAGGCTCTGGGAGAGAGACTTTGAATCCCTTGGACTCCCAAAGAAGAGAACTGGTGTGTGAGCCGTGCTGCTGGGAGGTGCAATACAGAGATCGTTGCAGGCGTCCCTCTGCCTCTGGGCAGGATCTCATCCCAGAGAAGCCTGTTTCATACTCTGTTACCCATGCTTATAGTCAGGGTTCTTCCTTTATCTCAGCTGAATCCTTCTGTTTGCAATTTAAAGCCATTTCTTCTGATCCTGTCCGTTAGGGGATGGGCATTCCTATAAGAAGCCCCCACCCACCTGGATCTGAAAACTGGCATTGGCGTTCATGCTGGCAAAAATCAATTATCTTAGACCAGGCTCAGGCTGTCTCTGAGACTGTGTCCACATCTGTAAAATAGGGCATTGGACATAATCTCTCAATCCCTAACTTTCTAAGATTTTGTGTGTTAGTCACTCAGTTGTGTCTGACTCTTTGTGACCCCATGGACTGTAGCCTGCCAGGCTTCTCTGTCCATGGAACTCTCCAGGCAAGAATACTGGAGTGGGTTGCCATTTCCTTCTCCTTCTAAGATTTTTTGAATCTATAAATGTGTTAATACATGTCCATGGAAGAAGAGAAGGTAAATAGCTTCTTTTCCACCCACTGACCCTTGCCAGGCAACTGAGCTGTCTTTCCTGGCTTGCTGACTGTCTCCTTTGAGGTCCTTCTATGCTCCTGAACATCTGTCATGTGCCAGATAAGAATTCAGGTTCAGAGAAGCCAGGGTCCTTTCCCTGGACTGCACAGCTCATCCACTGTGAGGAGCCGAGGTTTTTATTTCTGATTCCCTTAGGAGGCCTCCCTCATCGAGTGCCAGTACCCAGCACAGAGCTTATGTCTCAGAGAGGAGCAAGTTTGTTGGTGTGAAAGGGAACTATAAATAAATAAACTACAGCAGAGTGGGCCTGAGGGAAGAGATGTAAACGTTCTCACATCCCCATGCAGGCTGGCTCACTCAGGTTTCCTGAGTTCTTGCAGGCTGGGGTCAGACCAGCCACAGTTCCAGCCCCAGGTCCACCTGGTGCCCTTCTCTAGGTTTCATCCTGCCTGTTCTGCAGCCCAGAATATTCTTGTTGTCTTTTCTGCCTCCTCTTGGAAGAATTCCCAGCAACACTACCCACTCCTGACTACCCCTTAAGAGATCTTAAGAGACCATGAGAGTCTTACGGCAGACTGTGGGACAACCTTGGATGGGACAGCTTGGGAATTTGGACTTACATGTGAAGATCATGA